CATTACATTGTTAATTTCTCTCAGGAGTGTTTCCAGTTTTCAGTGTAGAGGACTTGGATGTTTCCAGTTAGGTTTAATCATGAATATTTTGGATTTGGATGCTATATGTTTCAGTTTTTTGCTGCTAGTAATAAAAATGTAATTAATTTTTGTATATTAAACTTGTATCCTGCAATCTTGTTAGTTCTAGTATTTTTTAAAGATGCCTTGGGATTTCTATAATTATGTTATCTGCAAATAGACAGTTTTCCTGTGTCTTTCCTTCCTCCTCTTCTGTCTCTTCCTAGAACCTTACTGCAGTGAAGAGAATCTCTCATTTCAAGTCTTTACTTGAAATGAGAATAAGGCTGGATTCTTTCAAGTCTTTACTTGAAATGAGAAAGTGGGCATCCAATCTTATTTCCATTCTTAGGAGGAAAGTATCCAGTCTTTCACCCCTAAGTATGACATAAGCTGTAGGGCTTTTGTAGATGCTGTTTATCAGATTGAGGAAGTTCTCTTGTAAGCCCAGTTTAGTGAGTTTTATCATGAATGGGTGTAAATTTTTTTAACTGCTCTTTTTGTTCCTATTGAAGTGATTATATGACTTTTCTTTTATTCTTGAGTGTTAAATTACACTGATTACATTTGAAATGTTGGACCTTGTATTCCTTGGCTGAACCCTTACTGAGTCATGATATATTATCCCATTAATGTATCGTTGGATTCCTTTTGCTAATATTTGAAGGATTTTTGCATCTGTGTTGATGAGGGATGTGGATACAACAAAAATCAGGTAGTCGGAACATTTAAAGATTATATTCAGGAAAACTAGACCTCTCAAGTTAATGAATTTAGCACTTTTCTATGTATGGGAAGATACAAGAGTCTGGGCTCATTGAAATCATTCCTTTGATATGCATCTTAACTATTTAGGGCCAGTATCCTGTTTTTCTCCATCCTGAATCCCCTCGGGGTACACAGTTGAGGGTGGCTGCAGTGGCCGATGGCCTGATGGCCTTACCATCTTTTGTTTACTGATATGACAGATGACACTTTTCATCTACAGTAATATTGGCTAGGTTTTGATATTAGGGTTATGCTAGCCTCATAAACTGATAGGGGTATATTCCTTCTATTTTCTGAAAAATTTCTTGGTTGGTAGATTGGTATATCTCCCTTGAATATTTGAGAAAATTCATCAGTGAAATCATCTGGACATGAAGCTGAAGATGTTTTTTTTGTGTGTGGAGGCTCAGCTTGTAAAGAATCTGCCTGCAATGGGGAAGACCTGGGTTTGATCCCTGGGTTGGGAAGATATCCTGGAGAAGGGAAGGCTACCCACTTCATTATTCTTCAGTGGACTGTATAGTCCATGGGGTGGCAAAGAGTTGGACACAACTGAGCAAATTTCCCTTTCAGTTTCACTTTTGATAGTTACTTTGTTATGGGACTGTTCACATTTTCTCTTTTCATTCCAGTTTTGGTAAATTATATTCTTAAGGAATTTTGTCCCTTGTATCTAAGTGGTTATATTTGTTAGTGTAAAGTGGATCATAATATTCTCTTACTTTAATATATATAGAGTCTTTAGTAACTCTTCCCTTCTTGATAGTGATGATTTGTTTTCTCTTTTTTCTTCATTGGAATAGCTAAAGGTTTGTCAATTTTGTTAGTCTTTTCAAAGAACCAGGTTTTGTCTTAAAGTTTTTTTTTCCTGTTGCTTTTCTGTTTCATTTCTATTTTTATCTTTATCATTTACTTCTTTCTCAGTTCAGTTCAATCGCTCAGTCCTGTCCAACTCTTTGTGACCCCATGGACTGCAGCACACCAAGCTTCCCTGTCCACCAATTCCTGGAGCTTACTCAAACTCATGTCCATCGAATCGCTGATGCCATCCAACCGTCTCATCCTCAATCGTCCCCTTCTCCTGCCTTCAAGCTCCCCCGGCATCAGGATCTTCAAGCTCTCTTCGCATCAGGTGGCCAAAGTATTGGAGTTTCAGCTTTAGCATCAGTCCTTCCAGTGAAAATTCAGGACTCATTTCCTTTAGGATGTGCTGATTGGATCTCCTTGCAGTCCAAGGGACTGTCAAGAGTCTTCTCCAACACCACAGCTCAAAAGAGCAATTCTTTGGCACTCAACTTCCTTTATAGTCCAACTCTCACATCCATACATGACTACTGGAAAAACCATAGCTTTGACTAGACGGACCTTTGTTGACAAAGTAATGTCTTGACTTTTTAATATGCTATCTAGGTTGGTCATAACTTTTCTTCCAAGGAGTAAGCATCTTTTAATTTCATGGCTGTAGTCACCATCTGCAGTGATTTTGGAGCCAAAGAAAAATAAGTCTGACAGTTTCCACTGTTTCCCCACCTATTTGCCATGAAGTGATAGGACCAGATGCCATGATCTTAATGTTCTGAATGTTGAGTTTTAAGCCAACTTTTTCACTCTTCTCTTTCACTTTCATCAAGAGGCTCTTAAGTTCCTGTTCACTTTCTGCCATAAGGGTGGTATCATCTGCATATCTGAGGTTATTGACATTTCTCCCGCAATCTTGAGTCCAGCTTGTTCTTCATCCAGCCCGGCATTTCTCATGAGGTACTCTGCATATAAGTTAAATAACCAGGGTGACAATATGCAGCCTTGACATACTCCTTTCCCAATTTGGAACCAGTCTCTTGTTCCATGTACAGTTCTGTTACTTCTTGACCTGCATATAGGAGGCAAGTCAGTTGGTCTGGTATTCCCATCTCTTGAAGAATATTCCACAGTTTGTTGTGATCCACACAGTCAAAGCGTTCGGCATACATAGAAGTAGATGTTTTTCTGGAACTCTTGCTTTTTCAATGCTCCAGCAGATGTTGGCGATTTGATCTCTGGTTCCTCTGCCTTTTCTGAATCCAGTTTGAACATCTGGAAGTTCATGGTTCATGTACATTGACGCCTGATTTGGAGAAATTTGAACATTACTTCACTAGAGTGTGAGATGAGTGCAATTGTGATGTAGTTTGAACATTCTTTGGCATTGCCTTTGGGATTGAAATGAAAACTGACCTTTTCCAGTTCTGTGGTCACTGCTGAGTTTTCCAAATTTGCTGGCATATTGAGTGCAGCACTTTCACAGCATCATCTTTTAGGATTTGAAATAGCTCAACTGGAATTCCATCACCTCCATTAGCTTTGTTCATAGCGATGCTTTCTAAGGCCCACTTGACTTCACATTCCAGGATGTCTGGCTCTAGGTGAGTGATCACACCATTGTGGTTATCTGGGTTGTGAAGATCTTTTTTGTACAATTCTTCTGTGTATTCTTGCCACCTCTTCTTAATATCTTCTGCTTCTGTTAGATCCATTCTGTTTCTGTCCTTTATTATGCCCATCTTTGCATAAAATGTTCCCTTGGGATCTCTGATTTTTCTTGAAGAGATCTCTGGTCTTTCCCATTCTATTGTTTTCCTCTGTTTCTTTGCATTGATCACTGAGGAAGGCTTTCTTATCTCTCCTTGGCTATTCTTTGGAACTCTGCATTCAAATGGGTATATCTTTCCTTTTCTCCTTTGCCTTGAACTTTTTTTCTTTTCTCAGCTGTTTGTAAAGCCTCCTCAGACAGTCATTTTGCCTTTTTGCATTTCTTTTTCTTGGGGATGGTCTTGATCCCTGTTTCCTGTACAATATCACGAACCTCCATCCATAGTTCTTCAGGCACTCTGTCAAGTCTAATCCCTTCAGTCTGTTACGCACTTCCACTGTATAATTGTAAGGGATTTGATTTAGGTCATAACCTGAATGCTTTTTGGTTTTTCCTACTTTCTTCAATTTAAGTCTAAATTTGGCAATAAGGAGTCATGATCTGAGCCACAGTCAGCTCCCAGTCTTGTTTTTGCTGACTGTATAGACCGTCTCCATCTTTGACTGCAAAGAGTATAATCAATCTGATTTCAGTATTGACCATCTGGTGATGTCCATGTGTAGAGTCTGCTCTTGTGTTGTTGCAAGACCCATTGTGTTTGCTATGACCCATGCATTGTCTTGGCAAAACTCTGTTAGCCTTTGCTCTGCTTCAGTTTGTACGCCAAGGCTAAATTTGTCTGTTAGTCCAGGTATCTCTTGACTTCCTACTTTTGCATCCCAGTCCCCTATGATGAAAAGGACATCTTTTTTTGGTGTTAGTTCTAGAAGGTCTTGTAGGTCTTCATAGAACCATTTAACTTAGCTTCTTCGGCCTCAGTGGTTGGGGCATCGACTTGTATTACTGTGGTGTTGAATGCTTTGCCTTGGAAACAATCAGAGATCATTCTTTGATTTTTGAGATTGTTTTTGAGGGTATTAACTTCAGCTTTCTAATTATACAAGATCACTACCACCACGTCTGTGTCCCAGGGTTGCAGCGAGAGGGAAAGAGAATGGGGGACAAGGTCATGCAAATTCTTTTCGAAGATGTGACCCAAAAGTTGCACACACCACTCTTGCTCAAATCCCATTTGTCACACCTTAGTCCCATCGCTGCAAGTAGTTGCAAATGAGGCTGGAAAAGGTGGTCTTTAGCTGGGCAGTGATGAATTAATGACTGCAGAGATCCATTACTGAAAGGTAGAAGAGGGAGGGATTGGCATTAGTGGACTATTAGCAGTATCAGCTACAGAAGTTTATCTCTAATATTTGTAAGCTCATTCTATAGCCCATGGTGATTATCAGATCAGTGGGTGTGTGCTATGTCACTGCATTTGTGTCTGACTCTTTGCAACCCTGTGAACGGTAGCTCCTCTGTCCACCAGGCTCCTCTGTCCATGGGGTTCTCCAGGCAAGAATACTGGATTGGGTTGCCATTTCCGTCTCCGTACCAGATTAGTAGTAGCCTATTAAAATATAATAGAAGAGAATCAGCGAGGATTTTATTTTCAGAAACAAAGTACACAACTGGATGTTGGAGAATTTTATGAAATAACTTCAAATTGTGTTAAAGTTGGTGGTTTTATGAGCTAATAATTATTTATTTTGTTCTTGTATTTTAGGCCTCAACTCCATATAGCATAGATTCAGATTCTTTGGGAATGGAGTGTATTATTTCGGGAAGTGCCTCTCCAACTCTGGCAATCAACACTGTGACTAACAAAGTAATTCTTTTTTTGAACACTTTTAAAATGTCATTGAGTAATAACATTTTATTTGCTTTTGTAGTAACAACAGGTTTCTTTATGGTTGAGGTTCAAGAAGATATCAATTTGACCAATCCATACATGGCAGTTTGAAAGCTGAATCCTCAATGCTTTTTAGTTTTACGTAAGTTAGAAGTAAATAAATAATTTTCTGGAAAATTGAAAGATACTTATTGGGAAGCTCTATATTAAATATAAATTCTTGACATTTCCAGTCCCCAAAACTTTTGAGTACAGCATTTTATTGAAACATTTTGTTTCAAAATCATTGGTTACCCCCCTAAATATGTGATTTAAAAAAAGATTGACAGAGCCAGGGTATCAGCTGAACCCAGTAAGGTAAATAATTCAGGCAAACTTCTGGAGTTGATTTGAATGTTGGTCAACATCTTTCATGATATTCAAGTCTAGGTACATACCCAGAAATAATATGAGGTAGTCTACTGCAGTTTTTTTTTTTTTTTTTTTTTAAGACAAGGGTCAAAACTTTGTGCCATCTCATTTATTAATTATACCTAGTGGGATACAAATATCTCTTTGTATCAAGAGATACTTGAAATCAAGGTAATTTCTTAACCTCATATCTCAAAATCCTATAAAGGCTGGGGGAGGTTCATGAAGTAACTCAGTTCTATGCATTTGTTTCCTCCTTAATGGACCATGATGGGCACCTTGAGGATGTATATTTCCCACACTTGTACTCATATAATCTCTCAGTCTTGCTTTTATCCTCTCCTCTTATCTCCCTTGTTTTCACTTGCTCTTTGTTTTTTTATCTTTCATTCTTGTACTCTCTTGTGCACATATGCAAACAAAAACACATATACTCAATTGCTATATGTAGTATCTTTCTATTTGTTAATGGATTAACAGAAGATAGATTATAATCAGAGTCAGATTTCTAATTTAGATAGGAAACTGGAAGCTGAGGTAAAGAGTGATAATTTTTCTCAGATAACAATTTACAGGCTGATGCCACCAGAATCACTTAGGAGAGGGGTGAGTATGTTAGTGTGTATGTTTGTTTGGTGGGGGTAGTAATTCCTAAATTCCGTTGCAGGCCTACCAAAACAATTACTTTATCTTTGTGGAGAGGACCCAGAAATCTGTACTTTTAAAAATCATCCCTAAGGAAAAAAAAAAAAAATCATCCCTAAGGGTACCCAGCTAGACTTGAGTATTTCTGGTGAAACCCATGGGCTGGAATCAGAAGCATCTAATACTGTTCTTTGCAGTAGTCCAAGTAGGGGATACTGAGGTCTAAACATGGAAGTTGTGGCTGTTAGGAAACAATTAGAAAATAATAATGCTGGGACTTTATGACTAAATAAAGGAGCTGGAGTTTTTGGACTTCTGCTTTCAGATAGGATAGCTAGTATCAGATTAACCCTTCTCCCTATCTATATAAAATTACCACTCCATCCCCACCCCCTCACCCCCCGCCTACCAATTAAAAAGAGAGGAGAGGCATTGGAGAAAAAGATAGGACTTCAGAAAGGAAAACCTCAGTGAAAAGAGAAGCACACTGAGATAAGCTATACACATTTTCCTTTGGGACATTTCCCACTTTTCAGTGCATGGCATAGAGGCTGAACAGAAAACTGCAAACTTGGGCAGTCATTGAGCTAGGGAGGTAAAAGTTGAAGTTTGAGGTTGCCAAAGAGCCAGGGCTTAAGGATCATCATCCCAAGGAATCTCAGAAGTGACCTCAACTTTTAGCAAGCAGTATCCACTTAAGGCTTTTGCTGACCCCTAACCTGTGTGTGGATGTGAGAGTTGGATTATGAAGAAAGCTGAGCACCAAAGAATTGATGCTTTTGAACTGTGGTGTTGGAGAAGACTCTTGAAAGTCCCTTGGATTGCAGGGAGATCCAACCAGTCCATCCTAAAGGAGATCAGTCCTGAGTGTCCATTGGAAGGGCTGATGCTGACACTGAAACTCCAATACTTTGGCCACCTTATGCGAAGAGTTGACTCACTGGAAAAGACCCTGATGCTGGGAGGGATTGGGGGCAGGAGGAGAAGGGGACGACAGAGGATGAGATGGTTGGATGGTATCACCGACTCGATGGACATGAGTTTGGGTAAACTCCGGGAGTTTGTGAAGGGCAGGGAGGCCTGGTGTGCTGCAATTGATGGGTCACAATGAGTCGGACACAACTGAGCGACTGAATTGAACTGAACTGAACCTGTGTGTGCAAATCAAGTAGAGCTTGCACTAGCCAGGATTCAGCAGTCTCATAGAGAAGGGGGAACAAAAATTGTAGTTCTTCCAGAAGGGAGCTATGGTAAACACCCCAGTATTTCAGTTTGATAATTCGGAAAGATTATATTCTATGAGTAAGAGCAAACCAAAATAACACCAGTCTCAAACTGTTATTAGGGTGGTGTGCTAATATTCTACTTGCCAAAAGGAAACTAAATTCTTTCTGGAAGATAACATATCCTCAGCTTTTTCAAGTTTTCACAAGTAAGGTCTCATTTTCAGAAAAGAATTGTCAGACATTCCAGGAAACAAGACCAAATAATTAAATGCCAAGATGAGGGAAAGATGAAGGATATCACAGTATCCACAAGTGATCTAGATACTGATTTTTAAATAACTGTGACTAATATGTTGAAGAAAATAGGCAAATTATAGAAAATTTAATTAGACTCTGTGTGGAAGAATCAAGAGAACTGAAAAGTGTAACAACTGAAATTCAATGGATGGGTTTAAGAGAAGATTAGACCCATCAGAGGGGAGAATCAGTGAACTGGAAGATAGGTCAGTAGAAAATGTGCAGATTGACACCCAAAGGAAAATCCTGGACAATTCAGAAAAGTTTAGGAGATAAATGGGATATGGGGAAGAGATCTAACGAACTTGCCATTCGGGTTCCAGAGGAGAAGAAAAGGGGAATAGAGAAGAAACAGTGTTTTAATTTTTTAAGACTGATAAAAGATAGCACAGTACAGATTCAAGAAGTCCTGAGAAACTCAGGAAAGGCCAACTAAAAGAAATCATTATTAGGCAAATAAAAATAAAACTACTAAAAAACAAGGATTTTTTAAGAAACTTAAAATCAGGAAGATAACAGGCAACTTTAAAGAGACACAGTGAATTCTGAATAGAAATGATCAAAGACAGCACCAGAATGAAATTTTTGTAGTGCTGAAAGGAAATAACTGCTAACCCAGAATTACTTGATACACCAGAAGTGGAATAGAATCTGTTAAAAAAAAAAGAGAGAATCACTGCAGACAACAGTCTAGAACCAGATGGCTTCCCTGAAGAAATCTACCAACCATACCAAGAATTTATACCAGTACTTCTTAAACTCTTCCAAAAGATTGAAAAGGGGGAACTCTTCCATCATTCTATGAAGCTGTTATCACTGTGATACCAAAACCAGACATAGACAATAACATAAAAGAAAATTACAGGACAATATCTTTGATTCATATAGATGCAAAAGTTCTCAACAAAATATTAGCAAGCCAAATCCAAGAATACATAAAAATTCTTAGGTGGCTCAGTGATAACAGAATCTACTTGCCAGTGCAGGAGCCACAGGAGACATGAGTTTTTATCTGGATTGGGAAGATCCCTTGGAGAAGGAAATAACAACCCACTCCAGTATTCTTGCCAGGATAATCCCATGGACAGAGGAGTCTGGCAGGCTACAGTCCCTGGTTGTGAAAGAGTTGGATATTACTAAGCGACTGAGGATGATACTATGATCAAGTTGGATACATCTTAGGGTCACAAGAATGAATCAGTATATGCACTATATTTTTAAAATCACTATACTGTTCAAAGCAGTCTACACACTTAATGTGATCCCTATAAAATTACCCATGATGTTTTTCACAGAACTAGAATAATCCTAAAATTTATATGGAACCATAAAAGAAGCAGAATTGCCAAAGTAAACCTGAGGAAAAAGAACAAAGCTAGAAGCATAACCTTCCCAGACTTCAGACAGTACTGCAAAGCTGTTGTACTCAAAACATTGACAGAAAAACATACATATGGATCAGTGGAATAGAATACAGAGGCCAGAAGTAAATCCACCCACCGTAGTCAATTAATCTTGATTAAGGAGGCAAGAATACACAATTGAGAAAAGATAGTCTCTTGAGTAATGACAGAAAGTGAAGAGGAACTGAAGAGCCTTTTGATGAGAGTGAGAGAGGAGAGTGAAAAAACTTAGTTGAAACTCAACAATAAAGAAACTAAGATCATGGCATCTGGTTCCATCACTTCATGGCAAATAGATGGCAGAAAAGTGAAAGCAGTGACAGATAGTATTTTGGGGGACTCCAAATCACTGCAGATGGTGGCTGCAGCCATGAAATCAGAGGACGCTTGCTCCATCTTGAGAAAGAAAAACAGAACTGGAGGAATCAAGCTCCCTGACATCAGATTATACTACAAAGTTAATTAATCAAAATAATATTGTACTTGGACAAAAATAGAAATACAGATCAATGGAATAGGATAGAAAACCCAGAAATAAACCTTTGTACCTGTGGTCAATTAATCTATGACAGAGGAGGCAAGACTATACAACTTTGGAAAGACAGTCTTTTCAACAAATGGTGCTGGGAAAACTGGACAGCTACATGTAAAACAATGAAATTAGATCATTCTTTAACTCCATACAGAAAAATAAGCTCAAAATGGATTAAAAACCTATTTGTAAAAAAAAAAAACAAAAACAAAAACCTATTTGTAAGACTAGATAGATACTATAAAATTACAGGAAAACATAGGCAGAACACTCTCTGACATAAATCACAGCAATATCTTTTTAATTCCATCTCCCAGTATAATAAAAACAAAAGGAAACAAATAGGACCTACTTACACTTAGGAGCTTTTGCACAGCAAACAGTAAATAAACCATAAAGACAACCCACAGATTGGGAGAAAATATTTGCAAATGATGTGACAGATAAGAGATTAGTCTCCAA